AGGCGTGTGAAAACGGCCGGGGGGCCATTCTGCTCTCGGTGGCTCGGGGCAAAGTCTCAGAAGGGATTGACTTTGGTGAGTGGACCTGGCTGGCTCTTGGCCCAGTGGCCTGCCCACCCTCCCGTGGCTGCTCCCCTGGGGACCACTGGGCATGCAGAGGGATCCTTTCCACGTGCCCCCTAATACCAGCCGAGAATACACTGTAACCCTGCTGTGCTGTCCCCAGTGCACCACTATGGGCGGGCTGTGATCATGTTCGGTGTCCCCTACGTCTACACTCAGAGCCGAATCCTCAAGGTGAGTGGGGAAGCTGTGGTGTCTGGAGAGGGGCGTTGTGTTTGGGAAGGAAGGGCATGGGGTCTACCTTAGACTCCTCCCTCATTCCCCAGGCCCGCCTAGAGTACCTGCGGGACCAGTTCCAGATCCGCGAGAATGACTTCCTCACCTTTGATGCCATGCGCCACGCAGCCCAGTGTGTGGGTCGTGCCATCAGGGGCAAGACAGACTATGGTCTCATGGTCTTTGCCGACAAGGTGAGGCCTGTGGGCACCCCAGCCTAACCTATCCCCCTTCCTCACAGGGGACAGGGTGGTGGGCAGCCTGGGTTCCAACCTGGGGTTTGCTGTCCTCCCTCGCCACAGCGCTTTGCTCGGGCTGACAAACGTGGGAAACTGCCTCGATGGATCCAGGAGCACCTGACTGACTCTAACCTCAACCTGACCGTGGACGAGGGTGTGCAGGTCGCCAAGTACTTCCTGCGGCAGATGGCTCAACCCTTCCACCGGGTAAGCCCTTAGCCCCTCCCTCCCAGTGTGCACACTTCCCCTAGTCCCCACAGGGTCCCCATGTCCAGGAAGTGAGGGACACTGATGAGAGACCTAGCGCCCTTTTCCCAGTTTGGCCACGCATTGCAGTCATGTTGACGTGTGCCATTTGACGCCTGTCCTTTACCTCTGCGCCTTCCAGGAAGATCAGCTGGGCCTGTCACTGCTCAGTCTAGAGCAGCTACAGTCAGAGGAGACGCTACGGCGGGTTGAGCAGATCGCACAGCAGCTCTGACCAGGACTGTGGGTGACGTCTGTGGCACCAGGAGGTACTGAAAGGTCCCAGGACCCTCAGGCAATCTCCCAGTCCCAGAGTACAGTCTTTAATTGCAGGGAGGACAGCAGGATCCCGATCCACAGGTGCCACCCACCCTTCCCAGTTCCTGTGTGGCTGTGGCCACCGCAGCCCCA